TCAATTAATTCACAAAACTTGGAGAAACCAGGATTAAGTTAATTCAGTTTGAACAGGGGCACACATTACAAAATATATTGAGGATGGTGGAGAGGCAAAATGCGAACACTAATCGTGTGTTGGATTTTCACATATTCAGATCTGCTTGACTGATTTGTTTTGAAAGCGATTAATTGTAATTTCATTCGGGGCGCTGCTCTACTTTCTGGAACCGAAAATTTTGTGGAATCTGTATTTTATAGAAAATGCACACAACTTAAGAGTTTGGCAAATTGTTAAGTGATAATATCCCTATAGAGTCTATAGATATACGAACAATATTTACTTGAGCAATCATACAAAACGTATCAACAATACTTGAGCAAATATACGATTTGCGAACCAAACAGAAGTTAAACTCGCAAAAAAAAATACTAAAAATCAGGATAACAAATCAATGATCCTTAAACTCACTTTTTATCAATCCCTTAATAACCGAGCTCGAGGTCTTTACAAAGAAATAACGGGCAGAGCCCGTAAGGCGAGGTATGTACAAAAACACAGAGGTTTGATATTTCTCAGTAAAGACCGAGAAAGCAAGGTTATGAAACAAAGCTTGCTTTGTTTCTCGTCTTTGCTGTTTTGTACGGGTTGGCTTTTAATTTTTTAGTTTTCGTCAGTAAAAAATAAATCGTTTCAAATTGTATCGTCTGGATAGTTTAACTGTTTTCCAAGTGTTTTTCCTTCGACTCACATTGGTAAATGGTTTTTTTGTTTCGGTTTTTTTGCGTTTTGCTGTTTGCTTTACGAATTTTGTTTACATTTGACTGAAAAATTCAGTGTCTTCACAAGCAAATTTATATAATCCTTGTTTTGAACTTTGAAATTTCCTTTTTTCTACAAAAAATCCTTGCAAAAACTTCTTACAATTCCCCTAAATTTTCTTGCATCTTAACGCATATTTTAACTACGTAACAAAACACCCTCAACATTATTAAATGAAAAATAAACTGTTACTCCAGTTTCTATGGTCATCACAACTAGAAGTTCAAAATAGATTTGGAAGTATTTATGTCACAAAAGTCACAATAAAAATAACTAGCTAGATAATTGTAAAAAGGCTAGTTATCGAATTTGTACTTCTAGTAGCATAACTCCAAGTCTGGTGTAATGATATTGCTACATGTCGCTTCAAAGCAGTCTTAAAGAATGACAAAAACTTATCATAAAACTTGCAAAATGGCTGGGAAGTGTTATATCTTCCAATTCTTTTGCATAACTGTTTGTCTATCAACCAGCGGTCTACAACAGCTGATATTGAATTAAAAAATCTGTTAAGTGTCAATTAATCTATGAAAAGTTGGTGTTTTAAGTAAAAATGTGCGAATCACTTTTCATTGTCAACTATAATCACTAACTTTTTCCTTCTGACCAACGACTTCTTACTCAAAACATGCCACTTTTTACGGCACGCAGGCCACGACCAAACAAGACACTAAATCCGATCGTATTAGTATTACATTGTTGAAACAAAGACGTAAATTTTTTCTTAATGTTATGAAATGGCTAATGTTGTTTGTTTCTCTGTGCTCTTCATTTAATTGTTTATGCTCATGTCAAAATATCATCATCTATTCCCATTTTCAACAAACAATTAAGTTTTTTCTGTGCTTCACCGACGTAACTCCTCTATCAGTTTCTGAATTAATTTTTTAGACATATTTCATTAACAAAGACTGCCGGCTTTCACACCTCATGATCCCTTTATTGTGCGTCAATTTCAAGTGTGAAATTATATCTCTCAAGACGCGTTTTATCTCTGCAATAAAGACTGATTTTTCAGTATCTAATCCGTTCTTCCGTCTAAATTAATTTTTCTTTCAAAAGAGGACATTTGTTTTTGTAGAGTAAAGAATGCACATATTACAATATTTCTAATTGACTTTTGGTAGAGCAAAATGCAAAGAATTGAATCTTCATCTCATCCATACAGTTGTCTTAGCCATATACAATTTTTCCATGGCACACGAGTGAATCAAAAAATCTAGGCAGCTTTACGTAGGTTTTTGATGGTTAGATGTTGTCTAAATCAAGAACGTTTACTTTGTGTAATAGTATTCTTGTTTAGCCTAAATCATTGAGATCTGTGTATTCAGTTTGCTCGCTATTCTTTTGTCTGCTACCAACAGACATAAATAATGACATATTGAGCGGTATCTTGATATCATGTTGTTCGTATGCCCTTCATCATGTTTTAAATAAACATTAAAAAGTTAATCGAAAAAGATATATGTTCAAAAAGCAAAACTGTGGACATTGTCGGGGGGGTTTTACAGGTTTTTATTGGCGAGCTGAGGATAAGGTTCAAACTTGGCAAACTTCTATATAAGGTACATATATATCTTATTAAACTGAATTGAATGCTTTCAGTTGCATTCAAGCATTTATTTTTGTACATATGGTATAGATATTATTTCTAAAGATAGCATCCTCGATAAAGCGTCAACACTTATGTATTTGATGCTTTCACCTATTTTTGAGATTGAAGTGTGAATATCAATATAACAATATCTTGGAGTTGTTTTATTTTCTAATGTTAAACATAGATTTTTTCGACAGATATTCTTCGAATAAATCGTTGCGTAGTCACTTACTTTAAATTCGATACCAGCGTTAGTAACAGATCAAATGATCTGCAACTTCTTAATAAATCATGCAATAAGTAAAAAGTTGCTTTACTTTTGTCAGTGATTGATTACAGACTTGTTAACAATCAGTATATTCTATACTACGTATATTAAATATTAGTTTATAAACTTATTTTTCCCAGTCGAGGAAAAACATGCACAAATATATTATAATATTTACTTTTTGCATATTTCCCTTGCACGTAATGTCGCAATGATGTAAATAATGATTTGATTGGTCCTTACTGCTCTCATTGGTATGACGTGAAGGTCTGTTATAGTTCCCTAAGTTGTTCGGAATATTTTATTGTCTAGATTATTTTTTTCGTCTTTGCGATGGCATAAAAAACTTACAAAATTTTGGGTACAGTGTATTTTAGGTATGATGGTGTAATCTACATTGGTGTTTTTACGTCTAAGATTTTACGTCCATAAATCATAGAGCAAAAAACCAAACTAGTTTTGATCTTGCGTACAATGAAATACACTGCATGCATGTGTCATAGAGAGACAAAATTGTTCTCATATTCCCTAAATCAGAGTTGATGCTGTAACTTTTGAAAGCCCCCTCAAGATTTTATGTTAAATTGTCAATGTCATCTGATTGTAATATCAAGGAGAATATCAAGTGAAAAGGTCGGAAGGTTTAGGCTTCACGTGGCTAACTTCTACTGTTTTTATTTGCCCGAACAACTTTGTTATCCTCTATTGATGTATAAGTTACACAGCTTGAAAAGCAATTTTCATGTGTATTTTTTAGTTTAGTATTGTAGCTATACTTTATTTTTTGTCTGTTCAAACTACAGAGAAATGCTCTTTCTGATGCAATAAGCACAGCAGCGACTTGTAACTTAAGCAGTCTGAGGAAGTTGGTTTGAATAACTGAGAAATTCTGTATGTAACAATATAAATATTAAGAAAAATTTTTTTACACTAAGAGCTCGAAAGGACGAAGTACGTATGCTTTTTTGGTATTTCAAAACCATATGCTTCAGAAGAAGTGATGGGATCAATAACTTCATCGCCGCAACAAAATGATTTTAAGCCGTATTTGAATGATTACAAATAATCTCAGTTTGCAAATGACCATATTAAATTTCATTTCGATAACAGTCACTCATGTTAGCGAAAGCTGCGTTATTCTTCTTTTTGACACTCCTCCTTTCTAAAACGTCCTAGCTAGAATGAAAGATTTATCAAATGATGGGGATGTGAAAATCTCTAAAAATTCGTTGTTTTTGCACAAAATATTGATAAGCAATTTTCCATGACATCACAAGTTTCGGCCTTTATGTTTACTCTATTTTACAATTCATTGCTTGCTTAAATTTTTTTATTATGCATTTCAGTCTTCAGATTTTTGAAAAGAAGATTCTGGATACATGATGAGGGTATCGGCATCTCTGCATGGGGTATCACGACTCTGTCTATAGAATGAATTATAATTTATGGATGCAGTCAAATAATTTCAAGTCGATAACAGATTATTGCCTATTAAAACGATCTAGAACTTTCTAAAAATTCTTGTAATATTCAAACAGTTACCCATTACATTCACACTCTCATTACCTCGTTTTTAACACTATTTATTGCCATATTTATTAAACTAATTATGATAAATAGTTTTCCTGTAATAATCGAGGAAATAGTCTGGGAAATGTGATTAATTAATATAGTTCAAAAATAATTGTTACACTATTATCTTAGTCATGAATGTTCTTTTGCTATTGCCATGCATGTACGCTCTAAGTTAACGAAAGTGTCGTAAATGAATAATAATGTATCACAACTGAAGTTCGAAAAAAGGAAGTCATTGCTTTCTGTATTGTTTCATATTACATATTTTAGTTCTGTGTTTATGTACCTAACATAGGATAATAGAAAACATACAAGATTTTATTTGTGGTCGTTATTATTCAATGTCTCCTTTTGTTTGCTTTTTCATGAATTCTGTTGAAAATAATGACGAAATTATAGTTTTGACTGGTCCTTATTGCTGTGATTGGTCTCAAGTGCGGTTTGTTAGTTAACAAGTCGTTCAAGTACATAATAATCTGGATAATTTCACAGCACGAAAAGCTTAGAAAATTGAGCACAGCGTAGAAGGGGAGGTAATGCTGTGATAATAAGTGCATAAAAGGTTTTATGTCAATAGGTTTTAATAAGAAAAAGATAGAGCAAAAGAGTTATAAACGCCAATATTTTAAGTTCTCAATTTTAAAGTACCTGCTGTATAACCTTGATTGAATAGAAACTCTAATTAAATACACTGCCGGTGAGCACACAGATAAAAACAATCATCATCTTGCCTCAGCCCGCTGTTCTTATTGTATGACCCACGTTGATTTTATTGAGTAAGTACGTCGATGTCGTTCGAGCAGACATCAACACTGGCTTGTTTCATGTAAACCGCAAGGTCACAACAAAAGCCAAGCATATGAAATAGTTTATTTTCGAGTTAAGAAGATACTCTCTTGAAGAAGTAAATATTAATATTTCTGAGACCGACAGAATTTCTCACGTGAAAAGATTTGAAACGTCGATAACATACAAGTTGAATGTGGCCAACTTTTGCTGTCTCACACGTTTCATTTTTACTCCTACAACTACAAATTGAAAACTTGTTTCCTCGAGCATTATGTGACAGTCGAATGTATCTGCTTAAACTACATACTTTTTCGAATACGAAAGGTATACAATTGCCACTTGAAGGGTAAGTACATCTCTTTTATAATTGCTATTATTTTGAGTGATTAATGAGGATTTTTTATAAGCGATGACCACATATCTTTGTCTAGTGAAAACACTTATCTATGTTGATGAGAGCTGCTTTGTATGTTTGCTTTTTCTGCAGTTTCTATTTGCAAATCATCTAAGAGTAAAAGTTATAATAAATGATATGTGAATATTTTGATGGTTTCTTTGTAATTTCTCGAGTTTTGTTGGTTTTTGTTCAAGACATTAATATATAATGTTCCTTAAACTGCCCATTCTTTAACCTCCTTGTTTGATCCATCCATCAAAACACACCTTACTTAAGTTTTCGTCTTGTATATTTTGATATCCTTTAGAAATAAAAGAAGATTCTAGGCAAGTATGATGGTCTAGACATCTCGGTAGGGTTTCATTGTTCTTTCCAGACGATCTGCATGAAAACTGTTGGAAACACATGTAACATTAGTACAGTCAATGCTTTCTCCTGATTGCCGTCATTCTAACATCTTATAATGCCATATATAGTATTGAGTGAATTACAAAATAAATGGTTTTTTTAACGATTATTTAGGAAATGGTCATGGAAATATGGTTTGGTGTGGTTCAAGCATTTGATTTCTGCACTCGTTGTTTTGAATACTCTGCTTCTGCTATTCTTTTTTGAAAACATTCAGAGCATTAATAATGAAGCATGAAGGAGACTTGTTTCTTTTTTTTGAGGAGCACGTGGCAACTGTACACAAATTTGTCGAAGGATTCATTAGCAGTTTGAGTGCCTTGAAGCAACTATTGAGTTTGCTATGAACATCCCAATAAGTTTATTTAAGCCAGAATGTTAATTCATAACGGAAATGTTACCTCATATCTTCAAGTTTTTCTTTAATATATTTGAAAAAAAGCAATTGTTGCTTGTTGAATTATAACATACGCCTAAAAGCTAAATCAATAGCCATTCGAAAACTTCCCTAAAACGACTACGGATGGCATGTTATCAACAGTAACTGATTCAAAAATAAAATTTGCTCGGCAGGCACATCCCCGTCAACTCTTAGTGGATTCAAATTATGTTTTTCTTTCGACAAGAAATTGATTTCGATGATTACTAGAAATCATAATGAATAATATGAGAGAAATTGTTCAAGAAATGGCGCTTGCATGGTTAGTAATAAAGTTAATTGTTTTGGAGATCAGTGTTCATTGTATTATCTTTTTTAAAGCTGTGAAGAGATGGAATTGTAATCTCATAATGATAAGCGATCTGAAGCGAGCTCATTTTCTCTTGATAAGGACTCAGATGAATTAGAGGAAATTACATGGATTACGACACGAATATTGAAGATTTGTGTTCCCGAGAGTCAGATATAGAAACAAGGTGGGTTTAGTTTATAGTTGAGTTTGTGGTCGTGATAACTATCAAGAAAGCAAAGTGTCACGAAATATTTTAACAAAAATTGCGACAATTGTAAGTTGAACAATGAAAACGAAGCTTAGATAAAAGAATGAACAGTTTGTTACATAAAAGTACAAACAATATGTATTTTTCTCATTGCATGCGTATTTTAGTTTTAAACTTATGAACTATGAACTTCATTTGTTTACTTTTACAGATTTTTTATGCAAGTAGTCTCTGATGTTTTTTATTGGTTCTTACTGCCGTCATGGTTGCATTAGTTAAACAAGTCGTTTATGACGTTTTATTGAATGGAAAAGTTTGCTCATCTTTGGATTGCAAACAAAGCTTAGAAAATTTAGCCCTGCACGCATGGAAAGTTTATGTGTAATAACTGCAAGCTTTTACATCTACTTGGATTAATGAGAAAACCATTAAGCAAAAGAACGAAACTAATTTTAATTTAATTTTTCAATTCATCTTGTGTAAAATCTATAATTTTATAAACATAAATCATCATTAAGTAAACTTCAATTGCTAGACACATTAAATTGTTCCCATAACGTATATAAGCCAGCTGTCGACGTTTTAAGTTTCTCCCAGGAATTTCATTTCGTGATTGCACAGACACACTAAATCAAGCATTGACATGCTCGTTTCTTATAAGAAATCGTAAAAGTAATATAAGAAAATAGTTTGAATATTTTAAAGACAAAACGAGGCGAAATGATTGTTAAGATTTAACGATTTAAAGAAGCAAAATTTTTGAGATTGACGAAACACTAATTAAAAAGATTAAAAGGTCATCTACCTTATGAGCTGTACATAACTTCTTCTGTCTCATACTTTTCTGTTTTTTCTCTAATACAGGGACGCCAGAACGTCAATGATTGAGGGGAGGCAAATATTTATGTGTTCGTAGTCGCAGCTCGTATAAAACAATTAATTTCAAAAAAAATATTAGGCAAAACACGTATATATGAATATTTTCTTCCCTCTCCCCCTTCCCCCAGCAATTATTGACATTAATTATGAAAATTTGCTCCCCTAAGAACTATGTTGTCATACTGAACTTAGTTAAATAGCTTAAAAAGCTGTTTCTTAAGCATTTTATGGTTTTCAGTCAAGCAGATTATTAATTTGGGGGTGGGTAGGAATATTCATATGTAACATTTGCAGGTTGTAATCCGTAGAAAACAATGGATTATACAAATAATTTATCCAGCCCTCTCCCCCAATTATTGATCTTCCTACGTCCTCCTCCGGTCAGGGATAAAGTGTATTTTCGGTCTGCTCAAACTACAATGATATAATGCTCTTTTAAATGCGATAGGTAGAGTTGCCATATAGTCAAAGTGTAAGTTACTAGTGTGAGTCGACGGGGTTTTTTAAGAAATCAAAGAAATATGTAAATAACAAAAAAATCATGGTAACACAAAACTTTGTATCATCTTTCTACACCATGCAGGAGCTTGAAATAATAAATTAAGTACTTTTTTAGGTGTTTCATAACCATTCAGCTGCAGCTGTGAGAACGATAAGAGCACTGAATAAAAATGATGGATTAAGATCCTCGCCATAGCATATTGTTTTCATACGCAAGACTTTGAGTTTTTTTTATGCGATGATATAATTTCTTTGAATGGTGACGACAGTCACTCCAGTTGGGGACAGCTGCTTTTTCTTCATTGTCTGCGGTCTTCCTTTGTAAAACGTTCAATAGAGAAAAAATAACAAATGATGTAGCATATATATTTCAATAATTTGCTTCGAAATCTCTTGAAATTTTTTTTGTTTTCTACCAGATATTTTCATGTTGCTAAGTAATACTCCTCGATCTCTTCATTCCTTTTACTTTCTTGTTTTTTTTTAATCTTAATTGACAATCCATCAACCGATGGCTTATTTAAATTTTTGACTTTTACATGGTGCACATCAGACATAAAAGAAGATTCTCGATACTGAATGAAGGTGCTGACATCTCGGTAGGGCGCCTGGAAGCTGTCTATAAAATGAGTTTTATTTCGTTGTAGTGTCAAATACATCCGGAAGATCTGCGCAACTACATTTTAACTTCAACGAGGTACGTTTTTTATTACACAGTGCGAAGCAATGCTTTTAATAACTTTATATGTCTACTTATGAAAGTCAAACCGGACGCATTTTGATTTTGTTCCTTTGCTGGAAAAGATATATAAGAAAAAAGATAGAAGAGCAAAAGATAAAACTTATTAAATGTGTTAATTTATGCTCTTTCCAAATTATTTCATTCTACGATGTTTACAAACTTAAACTCTTTAAGTTCATCTAGTTCTGCTAACATTGCATGATATGAAAATGTCTTTTGTGTAGTTAGTATTATCGATGGGAGTGATGAACAGACAGATGCTGAATATCATTATTTTATTATTCGTTGGAATAACTGTTGCTCGTGAGTATCAGTACCATAAGTTTAACTAAGTAGCTACAATTTTGAATAGTTGTTTCTTTATTCTTTGGACAATCACTCTTGTCTTATTATTTTAATGTGATCCTCGTAGGATTACATTATTAATTGCTTTGCCAATTCTTAAAAATGTCTTTTCATACTCTGTAGGCAAATGCAACTCCCCCATAGAGTTATCTGTGGTGGTCGATGCATCTGACAGTCTATCAGCAATAAAAACAAACTTTGTTAAGACGTTTCTAAATAAGATTGCAAGCTTCTTTCAATTGTCGGCCTTTTCAAGTCACGTGTCCGTTGTTTTGGCGGGATCTGATGTTCGTATTGTAATTGGATTAAACAAACACGGTGCAGATAGGCTCAAGTTTCGTGAAGCTGTAGATAAAGCTGTCAAACCGTTAGGAGGAGAATGGAGTGTGAATAGAGGTCTTCAAATGATAAAAAAACGAGTTTTTACTGAAGAAAACGGGATGCGACCTTTTCTACCACGAATTGTGTTGGTTGTTACGAGCGGAAAACCAGGAAATGGTAATGATATTCAACATCAAATAAAGAATTTGAATGACATTGGAGCGAAAGTGTACATTGTTAGTGTTGGTGATGTTGCACGACAAGACGAACTAATGCGCATGATCAGAAATGAGAGCAGTGAAATTGTCAAAGTTCATCTGAACAACTTTGGGGAATTGACGTCTTTGGCATCGGTCATTGGCGAAGATATTTGTCAAAAAGACTATCACGGTATACATTTTCATAAAATATTATCGATAATAATATAGAAATATCAATTGAACTAAATCTATTTTGAGGTAACTTTAATCACCACATCACTTTCTCATATATTGGTAGTTGCAGATTTTCACATGCAGATATTTTTTAAGATAACAATCATTTATTTCTTGATTACAATCTTACACATTTTACAGTATGAAAAATTCTGTATCAAACATCATGCAAATCTGACGTAGCTATTATTTATAAAATGAGTTTATTTATTGTATAACGGATTTTTAAAATTTTTTGTATCATGTTCAATGGTAACACCTACAATTTTGGATGAGTGATCGCATGTAAATCTTCAATTTTTATAGGCGAGCTTGCAGTTTGTAAGGCAAAGGTGGATGTTGGTTTTATAATTGATTCATCACAGAGCATAAGTTACGAAGGGTATAAAAAAATGCAAACTTTCATGAAAGCAATTTCTGTGTACCTTGGATTCGCACCTGACGCTTTACATGTTGGTGCTGTATTGTACAGCAAAGAAGCAAACCTATGGACTCGATTCAAAGAGATTGTCCACCTTAGAAAATGGTTTAAAAAGTTGTGGAGAATGCCTCATTACCGTGGTGTAACTCGCATAGATCTAGGTCTTGATGTTGCCAACACTCAAATGTTTACAACAAAAAGTGGGATGCGAGATGATGCGATAAAGATAGCAATATTGTTCACTGATGGTGAGCAAACTACCAGAGGAATTAATGACTTGATCCCTCTCAGAGAAGCAGCTGATAAACTGAGGAAGCGAGACATCACCGTGTTCGCTGTTGGAATTGGTACATCAGTCAGAAAAGACCAGCTTCTTGAGATTGTTAAGACTTCGGAATATATAATAACTTTAACCTCCTTCAATGAGTTGAAAGCGAAAACAAGAAAGGTGGCAAAAGATGTTTGTCAACTTGTTATTGGTATGTCTGTTTTTCATGTTATGTAATCCGTTGTTAAGTCAATTTCTGTATAACTTTAGGTTTCATAAGCTTATTCTTTCTCCATGCCAAGTGAAAATATTCACACTAAAAGGTTTTTGAAAGCTTATTGTCTGAGCTCATTTGAATCAAAACATTCAAACACAGAAAATGCTTGTATCGTAAGGTGTATCGTAAAGCTTGAGAAGTAAGATTTTAGAGCAACTAAAGCTTGATTTCATGATAAAGTTTAATGCACGGTGAAGCTTGATGCATGGTAAAAATGTGGTTGTTTTTTTTATTAATGTATGTGTGGATACTATTTACGAGAGTTTGAAGATCACATTGACAAACAAAACTAAAGTAAATGAAGATATGATCTTCGCACTTTGCTGGACAATTTAAGCAATCGTCTCAGGACCAGAAAAAATCAGGTGACTCAACGGTATTCGAACCCATGACCTCTGCGGTGCCGGTGCAGTGCTCAGACCAACTGAGCTATGAAGTCACACAGTGGTGAGCAGGTCAATATTGTTGGGCTCATGTTTTCTCGTGAAAGGAATGTAGTATGAATGTTTTATGCAGTGCGGTGTTTGAAATTAAATGAAGACTTCATAGCTCAGTTGGTCAGAGCACTGCACCGGCACCGCAGAGGTCATGGGTTCAAATCCCGTTGAGTCACCTGATTTTTTCAGGTCCTGAGACGATTGCTTAAATTGTCCAGCAAAGTGCGAAGATCATATCTTCATTTAATTTCAAACACCGCACTGCATAAAACATTCATACTACATTCCTTTCACGAGAAAACATGAGCCCAACAATATTGACCTGCTCACCACTGTGTGACTTCATAGCTCAGTTGGTGTGTGACTTCATAGCTCAGAGCACTGCACCGGCACCGCAGAGGTCATGGGTTCGAATCCCGTTGAGTCACCTGATTTTTTCAGGTCCTGAGACGATTGCTTAAATTGTCCAGCAAAGTGCGAAGATCATATCTTCATTTAATTTCAAACACCGCACTGCATAAAACATTCATAAAACTAAAGTACTCAATTTTACCAAAAACTTTTGCCTGCATATTTTTTCACTATTGGTAAGAATTAGATTGAATATCTCAAGCTATTTCGATGGCATTTGAGAATTATATTTTAATGTATTCCAGTGCATACAAATAGCACTATCCACTAAATACAAGACACTTTGTATTTAAATACTATTCATATTATGAGATTTAGTACACTTCATACCAAGGTATAAAGCTGCAGTGTCTACATCAATTTATTCTACCTGTTTGCAAAACTCCATGATTTGCACCATTTGACCTGACAGCATTGTTATGCAACGCAATATAGACAAATTAGATTTAATTCTTCAATTTAATTTTACGTAGATCCACCAATCGTAAGTTTTACTGAACCACTTTACACGGCAATGGAGAGCCAAAACGTTACTGTTGGTGTTTCCATTTCTAACAACAAAAAGAGAACTCCAATCGCAATAAGGTACGCGTCTTTTAATATTGAAAAACTTTCAACGGTCTTTGACAAAGTGTTGGACAACGGAAAATATGGGTGAAGTTATGTCGACGTAATACAAACATATGAAGTGTGTTTCTTGCCAAATGCAAGAGACATATGTTAATATTAACTCCACATCCAAATAAATAAGTGGGCTCTGGTCATAAAACAGAAAATGCAAATTCTAGTACAAAGAACGTTTTAAACAAAGCAAAAATAATCTTTGTATTGATCTCAAGTCTTAATAATGTCTTTAACAGAAATGCAACTTTATGCAATCTTGTCTCCAGTCACATTACATGCGATTATGTGTTATTTCCGGATTTATTTCATTCGATATAACTTTTTTGCTACCTTAGCCACGCTGCACTAGTTTTTAAAAGGCATTGCAGTGAAACAAGAAAATGAAAGATCATCAAGCAAAGCTTATGCCGTAAAAGTCATGTACAAATCCTGTGTAAATTGTATCCGCAAAACCTTTTCATCACTAATTGTTATGTTGAATATGACTAGTTTTCACCCAAAATATAAATACTTTTTATCTCTAATCCCAACAGAATCACCCCAAAACCTGTCACAGCTAAAAGTAATGATTTTGATGATAACATCACAGTGATTATATTTCAACCTGGTGAAAATGGACAAAAATTGGTTCAAATTAATCTGGTGAATGATGAAGACTATGAACCAACGGAAGAATTCACAATTTCCCTTGCGTCAAATTCAAGTGTTATTTTACGAAATTCTTCTAAAATTCGAATATTAAACGATGATTGTGAGTAAACTGCTATATGTTTATGCTTTAATTTGGATGTTTCATTTTTTGATCAGCGTTATTTCTTTTTAGCTCCACCACTCATTGAATTCGATCGACCTGTATACAAAGCTTTAGAAAGTGAAAAAGCTGTTGTTGGAATATCAATTACCAAAGGAAAAATTAGTCAACCAGTCACTGTTAGGTGTGCAATTCCAATTTTCAACTTTTTTACTGATGCTAGATGCTGGGATCACGCAAGGCATTTAATATTTTTTTGACTATTCAGAATCATCCCCAAATCTGGCACAGCCAGCAATAAAGATTTTAATGGTAATGTGAAAGAGATGAAATTTCAACCTGGTGAAATTGGACCAAAATTCGTTGACATTGGATTGTTGAACGATAAAGAAGTTGAGCCGGAAGAAGAATTTTATCTTTCACTCTCATCGTCTTCAAATATTGCTCATGGAAATCGTTCTATTGTTCGAATATTGGATGATGATTGTGAGTAAATACGAGATGCCACTGTTCTTAATTTATCGTTCTTATTACTCTTGAGATAATCATTTGCTGTGGATAATTTTTCAATATTTTATACCTGTAGAGCATTGTATCAACATACAAATAGCATATGAGCAAACTTATAGGGTACATATTTCCCAAGTTTTTTGGCCTGATGCATGTTCCATACTTTTAGTTTCTTTGTAGAAAAGAAAAATACAAATAACACTTGATTGTCAAGTCGTTTTTTCTTGCTTTCTTGAGAGGTTTATATGAAAATAATAAATATAAAAACAAGATCAAATCTTGAAAGATAAATCTGAATTCTGTCTTCATGTTAGGTGATCATTTCGAGTTTCTCTTAGGTTTAAGGCTTAGGGGAAGATGAAACCCTTCCTGGCAGCCTTGATCATGCATATTGTAAACAAATTCATTAAAGTGCAAATGATTTATTAATTTCAGTTTACCCCCTTCCCGTCATTAAGTTCACCCAAACTGACTATAACGCATCGGAAGGTGAAAACGCTGTAGTTGGAATATCTGTGGCTGCGGGAAAAATTATTCAACCGCTGACAGTTAGGTAAGGTTTTATCGTAAGCAGTAGACTATTGAAGACTTAAAGAAAGAAGCCTGTATCAAAATAAACATCTCTCGACCTTCTGTTTCTGGCTTTCACTGATCTGCTCTTGTGTTCTCTGAAGATCTTCTCGGTTAGCATAGGCATGTGCAAGCTTAGCAAACATCTTTTCTTGCTTAAATCAAAAGCTTATTTCACTGAAGTCAATCAAACTTTTCAATGTTTTGGTGTCCTTCTTAAGATTTTGTTTTTGTTTTGAACGAAGAGAACTACTTATTATATTTTACGATAAATAAGGTAAACTAATCAATCTACAGAATTATTCCAAAGTCACAATCCGCTGGTGAGAATGATTTTGAAAATGTTCCTCAAGAAGTTACTTTTCAACCTGGTGAAACTGGACCAAAATTTGTTGATATCGATTTAATAAATGATTGGGACGTTGAACCAATAGAAGAATTTACTGTTTCTCTCATATCCAATTCAAGTGCAATTCTTGGAAATTCTTCATCAGTGAATATACACGATGATGATGGTCAGTGACTTGCATTAATCATGTAACTTAACATTTAAACCCTACTTTTCTATTGCACACGTAGAAAGCTTCAGTTTTTTTTTATTTTTTCAACTTTAGCATCGTGCAGGAGAATGGATATCGGTTTTCTACTTGATTCAACAGCTAGTATGCGAAACTGCAACTTTAAGAAAGAAAAGAAATTTGTAAAAGACATAGTTAGTTACTTCAACATTTCACAAGAGTTTACCCGGATCAGTATTATGCAATATGGAGCTCGCAATATATTAACACGTAAATTCAATGAGACAAAATCACTAAAAGATTTCCAAAGTCAAATTGACAGTCTTCAATTGAAAGGAGGTAGTGCAAGATTAGGAGAAGCGATGTATTTGGCTGCTTCATCAATGTTTACGGTGGAATCTGGTATGCGCCCATATGTTCCAAAGATCCTTGTTGTCCTAAGCGATGGCTCAGAAACAGTCTTCACACAATTTGCCCAAGCGATTTCTTCTCTGTTAGACAAGAATAAAGTCAGAGTCATTGCCGTTGGAGTTGGTGAGGCGGACGAAAAAACTCTATCTCAATTTGTGTCATCTCCAAAAGATTTGATCATTGTCGATAAGTTTCAGGATGCGACGGAAAATCTTGTGGCTTTATTGAATCGGGCTTGTATATCAGGTTCTGGTAAGTTGAGGGTGTCTAGCCTGCAAGAACCTTGGGATTGAAGCAAGGAAATTTAGTATCAGTTATTTCCAAATTATTTTAATTTTCAATTAGATGCTTCAAACTAACTACTACCATTTTTAGTAAGAGTAATTTGAATTTTTTATCGATTGGATTATTACACTTGTAATATTAACTATGGAATTGTGTTTGACTTTTTGTTGACTACGACATTTAAAAGAAAAGCAAAATTTTATACTAAGAAAAAAAGCAACAAGTCTTCTACACAAGTTAATAAAGGTAGAATAGAAGCTTGGAAGGACAATATTTTGAAGGAAAAAAACAGAAGATTAGGCAAGGCATTGAGCCCTCCATGTTTTGAAAACAAATGATAATATTATGAAGCTTGCCATAGTATTAATTAACTCCCCTGGTTTGCTTACTAGTATGTATTACTACTTACTAGAATAGTAGCTATTATGCAAAATTGAAAATAAAATAATGTATGTAATTTTGTATAGCGAGAATTACAAAGATATGTTTCTAAATATGAAACGTTTCGTCACAAATTCATTTTCACAAATTGTATTGTTAAATTGCTTGTTTGGTTGATCGTGACGTAAAATTTATTTTTTTGTGTATAGATCCGGAAAAGTGTCGAGTCACGAAGAAATTGTTGCCTAACGTTAAGATTGGTGGTTGTGTCAGTGGAAAACCGGTGGAAATTGGTAAGAACATATGTATGGTTTAGATGATTGTTATAATACATAAAGTTAGCAGTGTTGAGGAGGGGGGCTGAGTTCGTCAAGGTGACTTTTCGTTAACATAGGAATTCACACCCAAAAAATTAATTCATAATCCACATCTTGGTTTGTGCTGATATTCAAGTTTGTTTTTAAATTGCTCTTCGTCAGTATAATAAATGGCTGTGTCTAGATGGCACTTCTAAACAATTTGACCAACCAAGATCTTGCTTAAATGCAAATGATACTTATACGCTTGTCTTATAGAGGTGAGATGGCTAGGCTAGAGAAAAATTACTCCATTTCGTAAGTAAAACGTGATGTTTAAAACGTCAACTAGATGGACTTTGAAACATTCTAGATTTCATCATTTAGAATAGAAACATTGGTTTCATTGAAATGCACGGCCAGTCTGAATTTTATTTTTGTATTTTTATGAAAAACCGGCTAAAAATAGCACCACTTACATGATTGTGTAAATTATCCAGGCTTTGATTAATATAAATGATTCCATATTATTGTTAGAGCTTCCTTTGTGTGATTTTGTAGGTGTTTGTAGTGGACACTGCCTATCAAAGTTTATTAATTATAATGGGTTGTACGAAATGAAATGTGCTTGCTGTAAAGTAAAAGAATCTGTCACAATTCCTGTTGATCTACAATGCAACTTGGACAAAAGGCAAACTTTCAAAATCAGCTCAGCGGTTTCCTGCTCGTGTGCACCATGTACAGAAAAACATATTGGTGTACACTGAAAAACATATTGGTGTACTTTCTTAGTTATAATATGTTCATTGTATACAATGCAGTAATAATTGAGTGTAAATAGCTCAAATATGGTAGTCAAAATATTGTCGACTATATATTATTAAACGACTTCATGCCTCAAGGCATTTCTTACGTTTGTTTATACTTTCTCATTTTTATCTAAAGGCAGCAGTTCCATTTATTTGTTTTGATACTTCACCATAACATGGAAACACTTTTAAGACAATTATATTATTACAGGGAAATCCAAAACAGTTTCTTTTGTGCCATTGACATGTCTATTTGTCACGTTTCATTATATATACTATAGTATGAGCGATTTGTACTTAAACATTTGAGAAATGTTGAAAACGTGCTATTTACGGCAAAAACTTGACAAGATTCTCGTAATATATTTCAGCGAAAGACGTGAAGAATATGATTTGGTATCTGCAATGTACATTTCATAGGGATTTGAGATTTTGAACTTTGTTATCTCTGTGATATCATCAAACGTGCCAACAAATGGAAAGACAGGGGGGTGACTAGCACTAAATAGCCATTTACAGCCAAAAAATACTATATATGTATACATATAAAATCCCCTGAAGAGTGAGCAATCACGAAACAGGCTTGTCGGGATGAATCTGTAGTTTTGTGATTTTTCTCAACACCACTACACATATATATATGTATATATGTATATAGCCAAAAAATACTATATATGTATACTATATATATATATGTATATATGTATATATGTATGGGCCACTACTGGTTATGATTTATCTGACTTGGACTCAATTGGTAACTAACTAATAGACATAGATTATGTTTTTACTGAGTATCATTAATTGGGAAAGACAAAATTGTGCACCAATTGAAAGACAGAAGCAAGACCATTTTTGAGAAGTATGCAACAGGTGATTTAGGAGTTATATATCGTCTAAGTTTGAAAACATATCTTTATCCACAGTTCAACATCAGTTTATTTAATGCATCGATATTGCACAAGTTTCATTGTACATTTAAATGTTTTGGTTTATAATAGTTAACAATAGTTAAAAATGGACCTATACTAAAATGCTAGAAAGTCTTCAAACAAAATTATATCATAAAAAGTTGCTAGTATCTAATTTGTTGCACTACGCATTACAACCTTTACTTTTTGGTACTCTTTTTCCATTACAGCAGATGGAATATCTTGGATGGTATAATTTGTTTTCACAACAAATTGGCACCCACTTATTTTCACCTTTACCACGTGGTTTGGCGTTGAATCTTTTATTTCCACAGCATTTTGTGTACTTACCGTATCGCTTTCTTATAATTCTACCCTTACAACAAATAAACTCTTTTATATCATATTTATTTGCTCCGCAGCATTGTGCAGTGTCATCAATCTTTCTGCGGAATGGTGTTTTGTTCCCACAGCAAAGATGCGTGTTGGAGTTGATGGAATGTTTACCACAACATTGCGTGTCTTCTGCAAATCTTTTTGGGACAATGCTTCTGGCACAACAAAGTGATTCCAATGGATTGTAACTTTCTTTTCCACAGCATTGAAATGGCAGATCAGACATTTTAAGTAAAGGCACTCCAGAGCAACACATCGAAGTAGCTGAATTGTATGGCACAGTTCCACAACAGTCTGTGGCATTTTTTGATTTCTCGCTAATTTTCTCTGCACAACAAACTGACACAGTGGAGTCGTAGCTTTTAACACCACAACACAATGTTGTATCCCCAGGAAAAAGAGGTGCAGGTTTACCATGGCAACAAACAGACGACTTGGGGTCATAGGGCATATTAGCACAACACTGATATCCACTAGCATTTACTGGTAGGGGGCTGATCTTGTTTTGACAGCAAATTGATGAACTGGAATCATAACTTTTTCGTCTGCAGCATTTTGTTGTGTTTTCTGTCAATTTTGGTGCAACTTTACTGTCACAACAAACTGACGTACTTGGATCGTACTTGACGTTCCCGCAACATTCTGACTTGCTTCCGTTATTGTTATATACTTTTCCCGCGCAGCAAATTGATGTGCTTATATCATAACTCATCTTTCCACAACACTGGGTTGTTGTTGACGAAATCTTTGCAATAACTTTACCTGAGCAGCAAATCGATTTATTGGGATCAAAACTCGTCTGTCCACAACACTGATTTGCTTCACCAGCCGAATTTCTTCTTCCCGCACAACAAATCTCTTTATGGGCATTGAAGATTCCTTTGCCACAACACTTAGTGTGCTGTGGTCCATAGAGTTGTTGGAATGCTTTGCCATTACAGCAAACATCGTAACGGGGATCCCATATATCGTTTCCACATGCTGCTCTTACACTTTCAGCTCTGACTAAAATAGATCGAAAAATGATAGTACTTTGGTAATTGAAATCTGTTATCACGTGATCACCTTATAGATTATTAAACTGCATGATTTAAAGTTATACCTTGAATTCAACTCTTAAAAATTTTTGATTAAATAAGAAAGACTGACATATCTGGATAATTAGGAATTATTTATTTTTGTATAGATTGTTTGAGCAGTCCACATATTTTTACTTAATGTTTTAACCCGAATGCTTTGGCACAACTCAATAATATTTGATAGAGGAGTGATATGCATGTTGTACTGCTTAAGTAAAAGTTGATTACAAAAAAATTTAATAGAGCATAAATCCATGTATTTATTTCTTCTTCATTATCATGCTGATCCGTTCTCTTATAGCATGCAAAAAGAAAACAATTAAATTTCTAGCTTAAAAAATCCCAACTATAAAGTAAGTGAATTACAAAAATAGCCAAATACAAATATGCATATTGTTTCCTATTAAATTCCTTTTTAATCAACAATTTCTTAGGCATTAAAACATCGCGCACAGCCCTCAAATTCAAATTGATTGTGTAAATACTTCTGTCTTAGATCACCATAAAAACAATAAACGTCTTTTCATTTCATTTTGTGTATCGAGAATTTGCTTTGACGAATACAGTTTACAATACAGACTCTCAAAGATACAAACTCTTACAATTTTTAGAATGACATGAAAAATAAATTTCTACTGCGTTGAAAATTTTAGAAACTTCTTACATGTAATGCATGACATTTTTCTTTATAAAAGCTAGTTCTATTGACGATAGCTGGTAGCTACTGGTAGGTTGGTATCTTTACCTGGAAAATTTTGGGGCTGACTTTAATTTGATACTAAAGCGTTAAGATTCAATTTACTCGATAAAGACAGCCTTTGCAGTTTATTGATTACATAATTTTACTCTTTTCAGTGTTTCGTCATGCTGTCATGCGGGATAAGTTTTTTCTTCGATGAAAATTTAAGCGGGTGCTTTTACCAGGCGCAAACAAATAAATATGTAAAATTTGGAAGACTTTTCTCCTTGGATTAGTGCTTTCTCGCAAAACATCCTCTACCGAAGTCTGAATATATCAAATCAAATTTGAAGTTCCAAACATTTTGCTTTACCTTGAAAAAATATCGTAAAAAGAAGAATTATTCCAGCGATAGTCTTCATTTCTTCGCTTTAGCCTTCTGTTCCGTATTCCTTGCAATGAACGTCTGGTCTGACTTGTCTCTTTCTTTAAAGATCTAATATATGTGCATGCAATACTTTCTAATAGCATGTTTAACGGTTGACATGTCTGCTATGTCATGGTGATAATACATCTATCGTAAGTACCGCTTATGAAAATTGCTCATTACATAATTTACACGTCATTATATATAATATAACAATACTGATTTATTCATTGGAATGAATTGTTGCAGAGGACAGCAATTTCAAAAAGTTGCTACAATATGATAAAGGTAAAAAACTAGGAGTTTATAGCACTGAGCAGCAAAAATAAGGAACAAAGTATATTACCGTAGAATATATATGCATGGAGGCAATTACAGGCCATTAATAATAAAAATAATTAAAGCAGTTTAATTCAAATATGCTATTTTCTATTGATTTCCAGGGAATATTCGAATACATTATCGTAAATGGCTGTGCTTTAACTTTGAAAAATATAATTGTCAGGGTTTTCTTTAGTGCAAGATCATTTCGATAAAAAAACAACGACATTAAATCTATACATAAATTTACTGCACGATAACTTCTTCAAAATGTCTAAAACGTACTTTTGCCTACATTAATCTTTACATCAAAGAGCAAGAAATTATTGAAAATCATCAAAATTAAAATTTTAAGATAATTTTTGAAAATATTATCAAAGAATTCGGAAGATAAACTACAAGAGGTAAATGTTTTCTTTTTTTGTATGCAATAAGACTCTATATGTTCAAACGCCTGTATTGATTTTTCCAACATTGGTATCTGTACATGTAAATTCCAAATATGATGTTTATTTAAAATACTTATGGTTGTGTTGGTGACAATAACGAAAGAACACTTTTTTATATCAAACTTTGCATGCAAAGAAAATATTTAGACTGCAGTTTCAAAGAAATGCTCAGCAAATGCTAATAAAGCTTAGGAAATGTTAAAAGCTTTGATGCTGCTATACTACTTTTATCAAGAAACGTCTTATCTGACGTTAATATACAATCTAAATTAAAAGTGTCCAGTGTTTGATACTCTTCTGTTTCATATTAATAAGATCACTTGTACTTGCATGCGGGTAATAAACGATGTCTTGGCTCATTTGAATATTAAGACTAACACCTAACTCATCATTGATATCCAGTGCAATGTGCACAATATTAGAGTTGCAAAACCGAGGGCTTTTGAAATCAAACTGTGGCATGCATGTCCGCGTGCAAAACCCTATCTATACATCAGGCAATTTTAGAGTAAGCTGTTACAATGATAAAATTCGATAATATTTATTAGCTTGCACTGTTTTCAATATTCCTAAAGTAGAGGTTCAAGAAAGATCTGGATGGACGAGTTATTTCGTTAATTATTTGGCTGTTTGTAGCTATAACCTTGAAATTAATGTGTTGTTTAGGAGCTTTCTCTCACGTCATTTTTTGCGCGTTCTTTTTCACGGCTATGTATGTTTACTTTTCTCTGCGTTTTATGTTATAACTGAGAATATGAATTTTGCAAGAAAGGTAGAAACATGGTAAAGTGAGTATGTTTATCAATGTACAATATCTCAAGTTTCCTCTTTTGCACTGATTTCTGATATTACTACGTCATTTCGGAAGAGTCTCCAGCACGCCGGGAAGCAACTGTCGGCTGCAATTTTAGGTCTACAACTGGATTTTGCATTATTCAATTTCATTTTTTGTCATCTTCTCTGCAACACGTTATAACAATAGTTAATTATGGTGAGTATATAACAAATGACCATATATAATTCCGCTAAAGTTTACGTATGACTTGTTCATGTAAAGTGTTTCTTATATAAAGCCGTGAAAAGTAATGTGTAAGCAATATAAAAATAAGGCAGCGATTGCATTCATGCAATATCATTTCTGAATGAATGAATAATTTATGAGTTAAAGTTGCGCAAGAATCAGCTGAATCGCAGCTTAATCAATCAATATCATCTGTCAACCATATAGCCACAAAATGAAGTAGATTAATGAAAATAACTCAAATCATCGTTTACACTTATTATTTTTGCATTAAACATATTCGAGATTAAAAGTGGGCTTTGTGCTCACTGTTCAGACAAATAATCATGTAGCTAAGTGTCAAACACTTTGCTAGGTGATTTGGCGTACGTACATCGTGGGAAGAGTGACACTTTTTGTGAAAAGCCATTTTTGGCTTTAGTCATATATCGTCAAAAAACGTTTCCTTCAAAACATTTCTTTTGGGTACAGTAACACTAAACATCTTTCACCCAAGCTATATACATATATACAACCTAAAAGATAAAAGTTTCTCCGGATTTTTAAATGATTTTTATTGAGCTTTCGACCCGTTGCTTCGGGCCTTCGTCAGAATGAGGATATTATTTATTTACACGTGCTTTTAGCTTGGAGACGTTTAGAGCGTCTAATTGGATTAGTGGGTGGATTAATGTGATTGGATGGGGTGAAATGCGTTGCCATGGGTTTTGGTGTCTTACGAATATGATTGGTGTTAATAATATTAGAGTGTAGTGTTTTAGTTTTGGTGTTGCTTGTAGTTTTTTTGTCCTTTTTCTTTAGTTGTGAATGCGTTGCCATGGGTTTTGGTGTATTGTGAATATGATTGGTGTTAATAATATTAGAATGTAGTGTTTTAGTTTTGGTGTTGTTTGTAGTTTTTTTGTCCTTTTTCTTTAGTTGTGAGCACTTCCCATTGGCAAAAACATTAATACATACTATATATACAACGTATATAGTATGTATTACTGTTTTTGCCAATGGGCCATGCTTTTTGATGTTAATTTTTCTAATAGCAATTTCCAAAGGGAGGACGTTTAATTGGAGAATCGTAAAATTCTTTCAAATTTGTTAAAATCAAATCCAGGTTATTATTGCCACGAGTAGGGAAATTTACGATCTGACGCAATTGGAAAATATTTTTCAACAGACGAATGTTCAATTTGTTAAAATCACCCGAGATAATTATCCCACAATTTGAAAATTTTGTTTCGAGTGTTAGTAGTGATTCAAAAAGATAATTGATCATAGACTCATCATTCGCCCCCGGTGGGTGGTACAAATTACATAAAATAATATTGGACACACCTCTTGGTAAGCGGGTCAGTCTAATATCTAACCATAATGCTTCGAACTCATTTGTTAAAATTTGTTAAAAGGTCTTGCAGGATGCTAAAGTTAATTGTATTTCGAATATAGACGCAAACACCACCATTAATGCGTTCACGTCTATCACGTCTAATTAAATTATATCCGGGTAGCGAAACAATGTTATCATCAATATGACTTTGCAACCAAGTTTCCACGATGCATAAAATATCCACAGTTGAACTGGCAATATACGCATGTAATTCATCGATTTTTGGGACCAGCAACATGATATTAGGCAACATTATGGATGGTACAAATACATTTGGTGATTCGCGACGTTTGAAGGATACTCTTGGAATAATAATACAATTGCTTTTGTTATGATCAGACGGTCTGCAACGGGAACGTAAGTTATAATCATCGCTTGGATTAAGAGACGATCTTACTAGTGTAGGTATTGTTTGAACGAACTCAAGCGATTGTGTGATAGGCAAACAACACTCTAATGTAATATCTTCTTTTTCTTTAAAAATGTCTTTAACTATAAATTGATCGTGTTGGTGTTGTTGGCTGTCGCCTTTTCTACATAGCACAGGTATTCTCTCCAAGACTTTTGTTGTTCCTCTCTGAATTCTTTCGTCAGGCTGAATTCCATTGGTAATTTCTGTTGATGAGAATGACGATGCTGGAAATGCCAAGAAGTCAACTGACGATTCTGCAAAGGAACTTTTTGATGGAAGTATTGATGATAAGGGCGTCGTTGGAACGATTGACGATGCCAAAATGGGTTTGTTTATGGTCTGTTGCGGTCGAATGTACTCGCTTCGTTACTCTATCACTTCGTGTGACTTTTAAGTCTTTATCTACTTCAGAATTAAAGTTGCTCTGATGTTTTCGTTGATGCTCGGTATTCTGAGGGACAAGTTCGTTGCTAAGAATTTCATTTCTTTGCGCCTGTGGGTTTTTAGTGTTAATCGTTTCGCTGACTTTACAGCTTTGATAATTACTCCGCTGCTTGCATTGATATTCATGTAATTGGGCCTCAAATTGATTTTAGCATTTATTACTAGGGAAATCTTTCTGATATTTGCTTTGTTGCTTTTGTCGATACTCAATAAGCTGTTTATCAATTTGAACTTGAGTCGTTTTTCTACTCTTGCAGCCTTGACCTGCTTCAGGGGATTTTACTGAGTCCTGCACACCTACGCTTGTCTCGAGATTTGCATTACAAATTAAGGGCACATTGTTTGCGATGCAGTCGTTTCGTCATTTAAAGGAATTTTAGGTTTAATAGTTGGCGTGGCATGTAACAAAACAAGCACTTCACTTTCCATCTTTGTTAAGCGTGACTTTAGATTCAAATTTTCTGTTGTCAATTTGCATATATCTTGCTTGTTTCTAAGTATGACTTGCCTTTGTTCTGACATTTTTGCCACCATTTTAAACACCGTTAATTCAATTTGATTTTTAAACTCATGAAACTTGCCGTTTGAGGATGTTACAGCGTCTCCGGCTCGACAAGGAGTTGCGCCGACAAAAGTTTCCGCCAAATCGTCCTTATTTGTACGTGACGAAAGTATTTGAAAGGAACTTTCAATAAAGTCCTGTAACTCCTCGATTGTCGACTGGTCAAAAGCCGATATAGGCAAATTTCGCGTTTCAGATTTGGCAAGTTCGCCCAGTGTTTCAAAGCTTTCACGCATAGTTTGCTCCGCAGATTCATGCTTATTTTCAATATCGGTGTTAATCTTATCGTGTTACTTCAGACAAGTTAGCACTTGAAGACTCCAAAACGCTTATCAACAAATTCCTAAATGATTCTCCGTCCTTTCCATTAAAAGACATTGTACTTAGCTTGCCCGGGTACCAAGTTATAATCAATTCTAGATCGCTGCTAACAAACTTTTTTGATTTACCTCCGGGCGATTTCCAAGTGCCCACCAGTCTCACGGTG